CCCCACCCTTCCTATACTCGAGTGCACGAGCCAGCCGGCTTTCAGACTGCACTTCTGTCCAACATCTGGCTGGATCAACTGTCCTCCGCTCTACCTCTGAGTCACAAATTATGGCTGAGGAAAACAGCAAACGCAAAAACATGAAAGCGCTGCGTTCGGATGCCGGGGAAAGTCGGAGGTAATGCAACCCCCCCGCCCCCCCCTCCCGCCCCTTTTTTTTTAAGTAGAGTTCAGTGCACTCTTCTCCCCTTTTATGTCCCCGCAGATAACGTGGGGGATAGAGGAATAAAATAAAGGATGCAAGCAACTGAAAGAGGGTCTTTGTATAGTAACGCTGCTCTGAGGCTTCTGGCCACCACTCAGCTGATGGGATCTTTTACCAATAATAGGGACAATAAAGGCATCAGAGGGGCTTTTCTGGCAATATGCTCATTACAGGAAAATATGAGAGGGGTAGTAAAAAAATACAACCGAAGAATTCAATCATTTGCAAAGTTATCTCCCTCTTTTCAATCAGAGAACACACAAAAATATATATTTTTTAAAAAACATCAAATGTTAACAGAGTCAGAAAATCATCTCGACCCTGTCAATGAAGAAGCAAGTTAGGTGTCGGGTTACAAATACAATTTAGGGATTAAACAGAGAAGGAAAGAAAGAAGGAAAAAGGGGGAAACAAAATAAACGAAAGTATATAGATATCGGTAGGATTTGGCAACACAAACATTTAAAACATAAAAAAAGCATGGGGTTTAAAATAAGGGTCTAGAACAGTATATACCTGTGTGTTCATATTTGTGTCTTAGAAGGGAACTGCTCTTCTGGAATGTTTTGTCGCACAAGTCACACGCGTACATACCACTTTCGGTCTTCTTAATCTTCTTCCGCGACAGACAGGAGTCGGGGTCTGTCATGTCATCCAGCCCTGACAAGTAATCTGGTGTACCGTCGAGGAGGTCCCCCTTCAGAGAAACAAACAAAAAAAAAAGAAAAAAGAGAGAGAACAAAAAAAATTATAAGGAACGTGGCGCCTCTCAAAAAGCTTGTTCCTCGTTTTAGACAAAGCTGTGTGGCGATTTGCAGAATCCTACAAGTTCCTAACAAACTGCTTTGTGTCCTGACATGAAACTTATTGCTCCTATTCTGGACACTCCTTCAAACTGCTATTTTTTGGCTGAAATGCTAAAAAAAAACACGCATAAAAAAAACGTGTGTATGTGTTTCAAAGTTCTGGCTGTAAGTTCAGGTTAAAAAAAATAAAGAAAAACGCCTAAGTCCAAAAGAAAAAACAGGATTCAGGAGTAAAATCATGCAATCACACAATATGCTGCTGTGTGCAGTTAAAAAGATCACCGCTTAAGAAGCTGTAAACCCAACACACACACACACACACACACACACACACGCACACACACCAGCGTTAATTTCTTATAAAACTTTCAGCTCCAGAATAATATCTCCCATCTATAACTGACAGCCTCCTCATTATAAAATGCTGCCAGTGTGGGCTAATTTTGAACACCGAGTCATGTTAATTCTGCACATTCCCTCAAAAAAATTCTCTTTTATGACGAAGATTAGTCTTAAATATGAATTGATGGAGAACAATATTACAACATTAGAGGAGGCGCGGCGAACCAGTCTTGAAATTGCAAACTCATATAATGATTACAATCAGAAGGTGCACCTTAATGGCCAATATTGAGCCACTAAAGCCGGCTTTAATGAATATGTGTGTGATAATGTGGGGACAGTGCTGCACTGTGTTTTAAGAACGGACCACTATCACTCCGCAATCAATTTGAACTAAACGCCCGTAGCTGTATTTTTAAAATCTAATTTAATAACTTAGAATAGGAAACATTATTAATACTTTTTTTTCATCAAAATGGTTCCCTCTATGTTAAACAGCCTTCAGCATTCACTGGTAATGAACATGGAGACTGTGCATTATTAATCCACATGTACTGGAGAAGCTCATTTTGGCTTCGGCTCTCTTTAAAATGCAGCGAAGTTGCGATGGGAAATTTCAGAGAAGTGCACGGCTCCGGGGCTCACCTTTGTCATTTTTACAAAGGCCTTTCACCCGTATTTAATAACTAAATATCTGGGCTCAGGCCAGATCTGGAGGACTAGTTGGGGACATTAATGTCTTCTGCACATATCAGAAGGCAAAATTTACAGTGGGAACAATTAAAGCCTTGCTGGAATTAAATTTGAGGGCTTGTTATTTATTTGAACCTGATCCTGTCTGATATTCTGAGGGTAAAAATTAAAGCATAACTAACATCCAGAAATCTGGAAATGAAACTCATTCACTCAGGGCCTTTCAACCATGTAAAACGAAGCTCTTTCCTCCCTGACACCACAAACGACGCCTGGCTTTTTTTTCTCTTTTTTCTTTGTCTCCACCTCAGGGTGGTGTCCCAGCTGTTTATCTCCATTGCCGTTTGCCAGTTTCGCTCTACCTCAGGTGAGCCATTCCCTCCCCTGACTCTTTTAATTAGCACAGAAATGAGTTCAGATCATTTCAGAGACTCTAAGCGTGCCTGGGGCTTTCACAAAACCACAGGTGGCATATTTACCTGGAAACCTGGTTTCCGCTGGTACTTTCTCCTCTGCTGCATCTCGGCAAAGGTAGCTGCCCCTGCTGCGTAAGTGTAGGCCATGTGCGGTAGGAAGCCCATTTGATCCATGCCAGGATAGGGCCTGAGACCTGGTATGCTGGCCTGCATTGGGGGCATGAATGTGGCAGGTGGGAAAGCGCTCTGAGGTGGAAGGGATGTGTAAAGGGGCTTGGCAGCGAAGGGGTTAATGCCAAAGATGGGGCTAGTGCTTTTTTCAAGGTTTCCATTGTTGGTCGAGCCTGAGAATTCCTTCTTGAGATAGGCTAAGTTCAAAGGCTCTTCGAAGTGCTCTCGAGGAGAGGGGATGCTGTTGTGGTCAATAGTGATGCTGTTGACTTTGGGCCTGCTTTTGACCGTCAGTGCGTGCTTGGGCTCCTTCATGAGCCTCGGCAGGGAGAGGTCGAGCGGCTCGGCCTGCAGGTCTTCTGAAGTCAGGCTGTTGGGAGTGTAGGAGCTGCTGTGGGAGTTTTTGGAAGATGTGGAGGACAGGTTTAGCGGAGACGGGGTGTTGCTGCGGGAGTGGTCCAGCTTTTCGCCGGCCGGCTTGGCGCCGCCGCTGAACTGGTGGCTCTTCAGATGTCTGAGCGAGCCCTCACAGTTGTTGATGTTGTTGTGGAGTTCGGCGATGGAGGGGGACGTGATGTGGTCAGTAGGCTTGAGAAGAGACACGGGCGACCTAGCTGCCAAAGAGTCTTTTGGTGGAGTGTGGTGGTTATTTGTTCCGACAACCATATCCGCGTTGTTCCTGTGCTCGAGCGGTGGGGTTCTGGTAGTGCTGTACTCGTACATCTTGCGCTGCTCGTACCACTCCTTGACGAATTCCTGAGGAAGGCCAACTGCTATGGAAATCTTGAGCAGTTCCTCCGAGTTGGGCTCCTTGTTCATGGCGGAATAGGCCTTCAACAAAGACATTTGGTCCCTGTAAGGGTTAAGGGGTCCAATGAGTCCTTTCTCTGACAACATGGAGGATGGTAAGTGGGGGCTCTTCTCCATGAATATCCCCGGCTTGTTGGCCATCAGATTCTCACTGGGCTGCAGCACAGCTTTGATCTCCTCGTTCATTTTGCACAGGTAGCGTTCATGTTGGTGCAGGGGTATCGGCCCGGGGAAGGTTTCTTTGCAATACTGACAAGCATAAGGTGTAAACATGTTGTTGTCCTGCACCTTTTCGTCCACGCCTCCTTCGAGCATGAGGTTGGATTTCTCTCGTTTGATATTGCTAATCTGCCTCTTTGAGTCTGTTGTCAAGCTCTGGAGACAGGCTTTGGCTTCGTTCACTTTTTCTAACGTGTAGTCGATGATGCTTTTGGTGGCGCCGTTGTGATTGACGAGTGGAAGACCCACCTGGCCCCCCCCCTGCTGCAGTCAGCCCCTGTTTCTGTTCCTCCACCTGGTTACCCAGTTCCTTCATGTAGGCCTTGAGCTTAGAGAGCTCCTCTGGCTTGCAGTCCATTTTCTGCCTGCACACAGTGTTATCCACGATCTGGAGCACCTTCTGTACCTCACTCAGGTTGTTTGCCAGCGGGCCCGGGTAGCCCAGGAGCTGCGACTCCAGACTGGCCATCCCCAGATGCTGCAGGGGGCTCTGAGCTGTGGAACTGTGGTGGACCCCCAGTGGGCTGTTCCCTCCCATGCCTCCATTCATGAACGGGCCAGGGGCGCTAAATCCATGAGTCGCCATCATCAGCTTGTAGTCGTTGAAGTCGAGTGGCTCCGTCTTGATGTTCAAGTGGTTGTTGTGGTCGGCGAGGCCGAGCGGCTTGCCGTTCTCTAGCTTCTGCCGCAGCTGAGTGATGGCAGTGTTGGTGGGGGAGGCTGATGCAGAAGTAGGGGAAGACCCTGGTTTCATGTTGCTGCGCATGCGGCCGTTGACGGCAATCAAGCCGATGCACTTCTTGCTGCTAATGTGGGAGCTGTACGAGCCCGAGTGGGAGAAACGCTTCTTGCAGTTGGGGCACTCGTACGGTTTCTCACCTGAAACAAGAAATACAATCGACGTGAGGAACTCAGCTTAGCTTTCTAAAAACATGACCTGTCACTCATCGGTGGAACAAAACAGACTAATTTTTTCCCTGAACTGGATTGATGCCTTGGAAAATAAACATAAAAAAAATAATTCCTGTACTCTCTATATCTTAGAACATCCTTGTGAGTGCACAGAAACCGGGGCAGGCCCTCACCACTATGAATCCGAAGGTGCTCCTTCAGATGGTGCTTGTACTTGAAGGCCTTGCCGCACTCGGTGCACTTGAACTTGCGATTGCCGGCCGCTTGGTTGAGCAGTTGGTGCTGAAATAGACAGAGAGAGAATTTGACTTAAAAAATAAAAAAATAGAGAGAAATGAAGAAATAAAGGAAATACAAAAAAATGCCCAAACATCACAGAGGTGAGGGTTCACTCAATAATCACAAATGGTTGGCATGACAACAACCAATGAGCCAAGAGGCTCCTGTAACCAAGCGAAGCTCCTCTGCTTTCGACTCCAACCTCCAACTACCAGCAGTGGTGGCGATAACACAGAGAATCACATACCTTTTAATTTCCTGGCTTCTCAGCCAAAGGAGGCATGCCTTTAGAATCTGGCAGGCCCAGAAAATAGAATAAATGAAAAAAGGCTTTTTGGAGCCTTCATTAGAAGTGCCAATCTGATCTACTTTTCATTAATTTGGGCCTAATCAGTCTACAATGTATTGAGATTCCTCTGTGAGCTCCTCTACCTGCATTCATACCACATAAATGACTCTTTTCTTCCTTTTTCTTTTTTTTCCAAAGCTGTTTCAAAAGTCGTACACCGTAATTGGGTCTTTTCCTACAACCTCAAATGTCCCTAATAGTCTTAGGATGCACAACTGAGCACATAGACTCAGCCTTGATTCGGCTTTCAAAGGTAAACATCAGTTGCAATCCATCAAATTTGCAATTCAAACATAGTTTTCTCTCTGAAAAAGGAACAAAAAAAAACAACAACATATAATATGGAGTGACAACAACAACACTGGGTGTGCAGGCCGAACTGATCACTCTCAAAACAATGAAATAAAAGTGGGTGGTGGGGATATGAAAGAGTTAGTAAATCAATTTAAAAAAAAGGGTGGGGTGGGGGGGGGTCTGGGGGTCTGAGCACAGTGTTCCTCCTCTTCCTTTCTCAGCCTTGACAAATGCTGGGGTGTGTGCTGACTCTACCCACATTCCTGGGGAGACAGATGGTGGCACGCAGGACACTGGGAGGACTGGGAGGAATTGTTCAAACAGCCCCAACCTTCAAAGATCAAGCAGGAGAAAGGGGGTGGGGGGGGGGACGGGGGGAGCCCCCGTCAACGCCGGGGAGGGACCCCACCGCTCCTATGTTGCTGAGTTGCATAAACAAACAGCAACAGCTGCTTCGCTGCCTCCGCCCCCCCCCCACCACCTTCCTCCACCCCCCAGAGGACCCCTGCCCTGTAAAGTTTAGTCTCGCCACTACTGCTAATAAGACACAATGGCGCTGCACTCTTAATTGTGAATGGCACCGGCAAACTGCTCTCCTCCGCGGCTCATGGGCGGGGACTGGATCGGACTGGGTGTTTGCATATGTATAACCTCTAATTAGTCATATTTCGGCTAATTGCTTAAGAGGAGGAGGAGTATTAATGCATGTAAACATACAAGACGGAGCGGCACGGCACATGTTTACCTATCGGGGGCATTATTCTTTATGTTAATCTGACTGCGGCGGAGTCACTCCTCACTTTGCTCTCAATTAACAAGCGCACATTTTAAAAAAAACTGATGCACTTTTTTTCTTTTGTGTCGATTAACCGGCTGATAATTACAAAACGAGCGGCGGGAGACGAAGAAACGAGCGCCACCTAGAGAAGAACCGAGCGAGTGAGACATCACCTCCATCTCGTCTGGAGGATTAACGCTTAAACAATCCGACTCAATTACGGAACCCCGATAACCGGCTTTGTGAAGGGGGGGGACCCGCGGCGCCTGAATGGGAGCCTTCGGTGGTTGTGAACGGACCCCGGAGGGGGGAGCGGCAGCCGCATTGTAATACGAGGATTCAGGCCCCGGCCCCCTCTTGGCCGGCCCATCTGCTCACGTTTATACACCCAGCTGGTAAGATCAGGTGAGAGTGCTGGCTGCTGACATCTGATCAAATCAGGCACAGCCTGAGCCCGTCATCCTCGCTTCAGAGAGCACGAGACGAAAAAACCCACGACCTGGGACCGAACACGGCCACGCACACACCGGGGTACACCACACGCCGTTTGCTGTCAGCTGAACGGCTGGCTGCTTCAAACAGGGAGGATGTTAAAGGGGAAAATGAGATATCTGAAAGGGATTCGTCATTTTTTTCAGATTGCTTTTATTTTTTTTGCTGCAATTTAGCCGTTTTGTCTTATTAAAAATCCTTTACTGTATATAATCCAGCAAAAACAAATCAAAAACAGGCAATTTCCTGGAGGTTTTTACCCTCAATATAAGCTCGCTCGCCTGCATTTCTCCTTTAGTGTTTCTCAGCAGAAAAGTTTGCCATAAAAACCTCACTGAAACTCAAACACACACAAAGCGTCCGGATGACAACCTTTTAACTTTTAAAGATTACCTCAAAAGGCAATCCTTCCGAGTGCAAACTCAGACCCCGTCGAATTTAAATTTACTGCGCCAATTTTAGCACACAGAGAACTTCTAATTACCACAAGCGCCCCCCCTCCCTCTCCCGCCAATGTGCAAAAACTCAGCTTAAAGCTGACAAGCGAGTTAAACACCCGTAACTGCCGGATACAGGACTTTAAGGTGATTCATGGTAACTGCCAGGAGCATTACATTTCAGGCATATATGATATAAATCGCAGAGAAAATTCAAGTGTACACAGATGTTTACGCCGCGCATGAAATTAGACGCGGAGGGGAGGGGCGGGGTTTGATGGAGTGCCACCACTGCAGGCTGCGCCGAGAAGAACATTAAAGGCCAGGAGTGAAGTGAAGTTAAGGAGCTGATAAAAATTTTCCAAATTGGAAATTAACACAATCATTCGATCGTGAACACAAGACTGGAAAATCATATCAGAGAGGGCCATCAAAAAACCATTTAGGGGGCCTCAATTAAAGTTATTACCATTAAAGGATCTGCATCTTCAAAATGCCATGAAAAATTAATAATGATTGCCAATCGGAATAAACAATCTCTCTTCTCGGAGGGATCAGAGCGCGTTCGGGAACGAAATGAAACTGGGGTTGGGAGGAGGGGGGGTAAAAAAAAAGAGCAGAAAAAGGGGAAAAGAGAACGAGGCGACACAGGAGAAGAAAAATCCCTCCTCACCTGATCCCGCGCAGGCTTGTGTGTGGCCATGTGCCGCTCCAGCTGGGTGCGGTAGGCGAAGGTGTAGTTGCACAGGGGGCAGGCGAAGTTCTCCTCGTTCTTCTCATGCCGGTACTTGATGTGCTCCTTCAGGGACGTCAGGCGCTTGTAGCCCCGGTCGCAGTAGGGGCAGGTCAACAGTTGGGCGAAGGCATCTGGCGTTCCAGGTGGCAGGTCTGTACAGCGGGGGAGGAAGAGAGGGGGGGGGGGGGGGGGGGGGGTGGGGGGAGAGGGAAGGGGAAAGCGGGGCCAAAAGGTCAGCGAATCAATGGCAGCTAACAGGCGGCCTGCCCAGAGTGGTATGGGAGTCATCTGAGCAATCTGCTCCACATGAGAGCCTCACTGTCCGGCCTGGCATCCTCCTCACACAGCACCCTCCTCATTCTCACTTTCCTGGACATGGTAGCACACACACACACACACACACACACACAATAACGTGCACACACAGTCATGAACTTGCTGACACACTCTTTATTCGCTCCCTGATGGTTTTGAAGCAGCCCTAGATTTTCTGACGCCCCTCTTTCTCTTTCTCTCTCTGACACCATCATCATGTCTTCGGCATGAATCATGAACCCGTTCGAAAATTCAGCCTACCCTCCCTCCCTCCCCGCCGCCGCCGCCCCCGGGGGGAGCTTCAGAGGTGCGCTATCTGATTTCAAGCCCCTGCCCAGCTGTTGCCTAAGACTGTAGGTAAACACCCAGGCATCCGGCGAATCTGTGGGACCAACAGCTGCCCGCTCGCGTCAGTGGGAACCGGCCGCTGCTCTGTCCAGACTCCTTCTTTTTTTTTTTTTTTTTTTTTTTTTCTGCCTTGCCCTTGAATGTTTGCTTTGTTAGCCGGGCAAGCCGTTGCTGCTCGTTTTAATGGAACGGCGCGTGGTGAATTGTAGTTTTTTTTAAGGTATTTTGCGATTCAAAAGGATTTTTAAAATGTAGATTTAATATTGTGTCAGGAGAAAGAAGAGCAAGTTTTTGCCCACACGTGAGTGTTGTCTGCAAAAGTAACAGCTTGACTTTTGCGGAACAAAAATTTCCCAAAGAAAATGGAGTCTAATATCCAAAATATGATTTCAAAGTGCTTTAGGTTGAGGATGTTCACATCATCAACAAAACATAAGTAAATAGGTGCAAAAGATGATGAATTTCATCCAAATTTTAAGTCTGTTTAGAATTTTTGACTAAGTTTTCCTGAATCCTGCAAAAACAAACATGAAGCCAGGTAACTGTTACTTTTTCTTTCGCGTGTTTCCTGATAAGACAATCCTTCTCATCAGGATGGTTTTCATTTCCCATCAGCCACTCTGGTTTGAATCACCTAAAACTGAGGCGCTGTCTTGTTACATGCATTTTATTTCTGGCTCTAATCAAACTAATGGTGAGGTAAGGAGGCAAAAAACTGAAAAGACTTATTCACTATTTTCCTTCTTTCCTTAAAGAAAAAAAATGTGTTTTTCTGCTTGTTGTGGAAAGCTGAGTTTTTGCAGTGTTGTGGTTGCGCTGGCTCGACTGAGGGGCGTAAACTGGCTCTCAAAACTACCCGCCCAAAGCTGACTTATTTCCAAAGATGTCAGTCACCTAGATACATTTTTTTTGTTTTCTGGCAGACAAAAAGAAAATGGAGAAAAACAAACAAACAAACAAAAAAAAGAAGAGCATCCTGCATTTTGTCAAGGCTAAAACCTTTCAAACTCAGGGGCTTTGCTTTTCCAAATGCTCATATAATGAGTCATTTTCCAGCCTGATCTGATGAACGTGTCTCGCGCCGATCTTGGTTTTATCTGTCAAAGGCGGATTGGAGCTTCATTTCCAATATGGAAAACAGCTCTCCGGTTTGCCCCGTTCAACCTGAGCCTTTTCTCGGACGTCTATCGCCGGCGCCTTGTCCCCGCCCCGATTCGGACTCTCATCCTCTCCCACGCGGGCTTTCGTACCGTTCTCCTCCGGTCCCGTGGCCTCCGGGGTGCCCAGGCGGCTCAGCTCCTCCGGAGCCTCTGGGTAGATGATGGCGGTGTCGCCGCGCTGCAGGTACTCGGCGATGCTCACCACGTGGCTGTCGCTGTCGTCCAGCTTCCGCTTGGCAAAGAAGTCCTCCAACTCTGAAGTGCAATCCACGCTCTTGACTGAAGAGAGAGAGGAGAGGAGAGATGGTGAAGGAGGAGGCTGAGAACAGAAAGGAGGTGGAGGTGGGGGGGTGGATTTAATTCACTTCTTTCCCCTGAGAAATGTCTTACAGGAGGATATTGGGAACATCTTGGTTGGAAATGCGATGAGGATAGCCACCCTGAAACATTACGGCGGAGCTTTGGGGAGCATGTATCTGAATTACCGGGGCTTGCTTGTCACGCCATGTCTGCTAAAACAAGAATTGTAACTTAATCCGGGGCCAAAAGTCAAGAGATAAATGTGCTACTATGAGCCGCTGAGAAGCACTGTGGCAGATAAAACTTCACTGATCTAATTGAGTCGTGATAGAAAATCTGATTTGAAGTTTCGGACTGCTAAATAAAATAGGATTAAAAAAAAACAAAAAAAACAGAGTAACACCCTCCTTGGAATTTACATACAAGTAAGCACGATCCTGGTTTAAATCTGCGTTTCTTTGCATGGACTTTCATGTGTGGGGTCAATCAAGAGGGCCGCGGCTTTGGTTGATTCTGTGGTGAACAGATTACCAGGGGGGGTTGTGGGAGGGGGGGGAAAACCGCAAGCTGAAGCAGAAAAGGAGAAGAAAAGACGTGCTCCGCCACGGCTGGGCCCAGACGCGTCTTAAGCCAGCCAAAGTGCTGAGGACACACAATGCGTTTTTCTCAAAATTATTTCCCAGTCCCCCTCTCTTCGGGGAGAAACTCTTTAAGCTGCAGCGTGGAGATAGCTGCCTCCAAAACAAAAAAAAAAACAAAAAAAAAAAAAAGCGGAGCTAAAAGACATCAGCAGCCTTCATTAGTCAAGGGGATGGCCCACTTTCAAAACCACACACAAACATCCTGCGAGCGCCGCTTCCAACCTGGAGAGGGCTGCCTGGCAAACCACAACCAGAAAAAACAAAAAAAAACACAAAAAAACAAAAACCGAGCGAACGTCTCTTCGGGCCTCCTCCCCTGTTAATGAGGCTCTAAGAGCGCCAGCCAAGGTGAGGTTAAAGGAGCCATTTGTTCGGCCGTGATGACTGGACGAGCCAATTTGCGAAAGGTCAAGGTAGTGGATATTTGGATGTCAAAAAAAAAAAAAAAAAAAAAAAAACGGCACCGAAATGTCATGGGTGCCAATGGATCACTTTTGATAATGGTGGATGGGAGAATTTACAGCACTCTCATTAGGTGGATCTTTGAAGCCTGCTAAGCTAATTGAGAAGGTCTGAATGGCGTGCTGATGGACTGATGATTGACCAAGGGTGCGGCTTCACTGTAATCAGTTTCTGGGCCCACATCTGAATAAACCTTCAGGGTGATGGAACGTTATTTACTTCACGCCGAGCGCACTCGGCGCATTCTATTTATGACATTTGGATGGGAGATTTGAAAGTGTTTCTTTAAGGGAGCGCTTTTTTTCTTCCAGGGAAAGGAGGAAATCACCTGGATCAAAGTGTGCTTTGGCAGCGGGGACGTGATCAAACTTCTTATGTCTTTAAACGGAATCACATGTCATCTGGTGGCAGGGAGCTTCCACGGCATTGTTTCCAAAAAAACAGCTCCTTTAAGCAGTGGAAATGGAAAACAGTCCCCTCGGCTGGAATTCTCACCCGCGAAAGGGGAGAGAAAAGAATAATCAAAGCTGAAGCGGGGCTTTTGAGGCCTGGGCCGCATGGCGTTCTGTGGGGCGAGTTTGGTTTACCAGAGCAGCTTCTGAGGCCAATGGTACTTACTCCTGTAAGGCCAGGATGATGTCATGGAGGGGGGGGGGGGGGGGGGGGGCATGTAGCCGCAAATTATCCACACACTCTTAATGAAAAATGGCAGATAGGGTTCGGCTCAAACAGCAGAAAAACTTAGCTAACCAAGAGGGCTGAGAGCAGCATGTGGAATAAAGGATTCCAGGAACCTTAGCTGTATGTGAACACACCTAGAAAGGTTTAGCTCTGAACTCAAATGCTCCCCAATTTGAACTATATAGATATATATATATATGTTCCTGTCAAATTAATTAATAACCCTTGCAATGTTCAATTTCAACAGTTAGGGGCCTCAGAAAAGAAACATTTCAACTCACCTGTACCATTTCCAACCGCCTGTAACGGGGCATCAGGCCCCAGGGTGTCGAAATCATCCTTTATTTCATCTGCAGAGAAAAACAGAGCAGAGGGGGAAGGGGGGGGGGGGGTGAGCGACGGCGACAACGAGGCCCTTTAAGGAAAAGAAAAAGGTATGGAGAAAAGCAATAGAGGCACCGCTGTGCATTGCAGTGCACCGCAGCTTTGTTCGGCATGCTTAATGAATGCTATCATCCAGGCCAGACAGTGACTTATTTACCTTTAACATGACAACAAGCGGCGGGGGAGGCAAAGAAAAGCTTCAATCGCCAAACACAGCGATTAAATACGACACGGCACACATCCACCTGAGCAATCACGGAGCTCCAGCCAACACGCAAGCTGAGCTTATTACTCCCCGGCTGTGATGCCGCTGCAATCCTCTGCATGCAGGATCACGCTTGTTTTTTTTATTTTTTTTTTTTTTATTATCATATGTCATTTGGTGGATGCTTTCATCCAAAGCTGCTCTGGCTATTGTGAGCGCGCACATTTTTGTGATTTGCCACAAGAACCCCGGCCAGAGAGTCGGTGCCTTGCTCTCGGAACTAAAAAAAAAAACACAAGCCTCGACCACAAAATGACGAGTTGGAGCTGCACAAACATTTCTCTCCCGGGCAGAAATAAACCTCACTGGTTGGGGGTAGAACCTCAAGTGGGGCGGAGCCGAGGAATTAACGTTTTCTGGGGAGGAACGAAAGGCAACAGAACGATGAACAGAAAGGACGCTTTCTTTTAAAAAAAAAAAGCTTTTTTTCACTCACTCAAATGGCTTCCGGTATCTGAAGGTTACGAACGGGGGCCTTTTGGAATCTGAAAGTCAGTGTTTTTTTTTGTTTAATTTTCTGCTTTGTGGATCCGAGGCTGACCCCTTCAACAATTCAGCTTCCTGAGAGGAAACCCTGAGAAATCGTTCGAATAACCTCCCCCTTCCAGCGTCGACCCACGAAGAGGGAGTTTGCGCGGCCTAATCAGGGTAATGGCACCCAGCCTGTGCAGACAGGCAGATATTGTCCTGGCACAGGTGAGGCAGCTGTAAATAAACAGCCGATTGACAAGCTCATAAACAAACCCTCTCCTGACAAACCTACCCCCACACCCGCACAAACCCTCTCTGCATCACGGTCAACAGTAGGACGCCCGACTGGACAATCAGCTTAAGAAGCCCCCGGTGCCTCCTCGCTAAGAATTCAATCAAGGTGCTTCCGAGAACATGTGGCTTTTTTGTGTTGAAGAAAAAAAAAAAAAGGAAAAAAAAGGCAATCTGTGCCTCCCACGCCTCACATCGGCTCCGTTTCTCCCTTCAAGGGCGCTACAAGTGTTGCATTGTG